TTCTCCTAACTCTTGTTCGTTGAACTACTTTCAAAATTGGATGAATATGTTAAAGGGATGGAATGAGAAGTTCTGCCCAGATTCATGTTCAAATTACTAGTAGTTGAGCTGTCTCGTCATGTTACGCTTCATCCTAAATGCTGTTCGTAAAAAAGGAGTGCATCAACTTAATGCGGTGGTTAAGGTTGTGTTTGACCCTCGTCAAAGGTGCCAGCGACCACTTACACCATATCCATTTCCTCAGAATGGTGACAAAAGTAAGGAAGAAGATGATGATGTGAGTTTTACGCTTTATCATACAGCAATTATGAGTGTGCTTGTGAATGATCATGATGTGCCAAAGTATCGATGCAACTACTGAATGCTGCCCATTTTTGCTTTTTGCTAGCAATTGTGCGACTAATCATTATCTGCTGCTCCGTTTTCAGTTCGCTAAACCTGGAGGTGAATCTGCTAAGACTGAAAGTTTTTCATATGCGGGTGAAGTGATGTCATCCAATGTCGCAGTTCGACTCGCTTTGGGGAATCAGGTACTTATGTGGTTATTTCTCATAGAACTCTACTCAATTGTTTGACGAAGTAATGAGCCTACTGTATGTTAATATCCATATAATTCTCCCCCAGTATGACTAAAATGAAGAATTGCCAGTGTTTACCTTTTTTTTTGAAAGACTTATACCAGATTTCCCGGACCGTCAGAGGTGGGGAATAAATGCAAAGTATTATTGTCCTCCTATACCTCAAATCTATAGCAGTTAAAGAGGTGGGGCATGAAGTGAGACGTGTATTGGTAATAAAAGGTCAGTTGAAGGGCTATAATCCCTAACTGTAATAGGATCACGTATATGTTCTATTGCCTGATGATGGTGTTAGTTTATAGCAGGCATATACTTCCTCTCTCTACACCTTTGTAGTTCCATTCTCCCAGTTTACTTATTGTGTGGTGGCCGCATCATTCCCCTTCATTTAATCAAAATCGTCACATGTGAGTTATAAATATAATATTTTGAAAAGAATAAAGTCGAATTAGGCTTTGTAACCCGCTTGAGAAAAATGCCAGTCTGTTGAGGGTGATAATAAAAGTTTCGTGGTTCATAGAATTCATGGTCAGGCACTTGTTCTGCAGAATTCAGGTAGTGCAACTGACTTGGTTCAAATTTTAAAACCAAGATGCCGTGCTGTAGTGATTTAAGAAGTAAATAGGCAATAGTCATGAAGTTTAAGCTTGACCCTATTTGTGTAATGTTAATGGCTGTGTTGTTTCTAAGGCTGCGTTTGATTTTCTGTTATTTTCTAAGCTTACTGAGTGGCCACTTCCAGGAGGGTCAGTCAGTAATTACGGACAAATTTTATTTGCCCGCTACAGTTCCTGAATGGTCCGTCTGGTATGATCGCTACGAGAGCCGTGGAAGTCGAAAAAGGCGATTGGAAGAAGAAAAGAAAGAAGAAGATAAAAAATGTGGTGCTGCTTTTCAGGTAAAGCTATCAGCAAAAACAAGAACATTTATCATCCCATCTGTGATTCATTTCCTTGTGCTTTCAGTTCGATTCGCCATCCAAGAAACGGCGCAAGAAAGAGACTACGATTGACACTGAGGCTTCTATTGTTCTCGTTGATCTTGAGAGTGAAAGTGAATTGACATCGTCAACTCAGTCGTCTAGTAAACTATCTTCGCAATCGTCTGTTGAGCTGTCTACGCAGTCATCTAGTGAACCCTGCTCGCAGTCATCCAGCGATCTGTGCTCACAGTCTAGTAGTCCATGCTCCCAGTCATCTACTGAGGCAGGCTTGCAGTCATCGAATGATCAGCCGAAATCAGAGCAGCGGTTGAAGATTACTTCAACAAGAACAATGCCAGCTAAAGTGGGTTTTCAGTTCTTCCAGGTGTACTTCAGCTCCTCTGCTATAACCTATTGAAAAGCTCTGGCAATGAAAGTTCCAGGTCCTCCGCCCGAAGTCGTTAAAAAATGAGGCAAGTAACAACTGGTCTGTCGAAGAAATGATGAAGGTGTATGGTTCTCAAACCAAAATCGGTCAGTTTCTGTTGTACGAATTTACGTTTGTATTGTTAACAATTAGGTAAACATAGCTCTGTAGCCAGTGAAAAACTCTGCTTCTAAAGATAGAACCCATCCTGTGCAAAGTTCACCATCCCCTTCTCTTTCTTTCCCTCATGTCCTTGGTAATGGCATGAATTCTCCGCAA